GTACAGACAACGGCATGTTCCGATCCTTCCCAGACCCCCGACGTCATGATTTTATCATGACCTTGACCCCCAGAGGTCTGGACCTCTTCCCCGAGACCGATTCTTCATCCCGAGTCGCTTTTCGACGGTCTCAAGGCCCCGTAAAGGCCCCCGGGCCAAAAATGGCAAAAAGCCCCCCGTCGTGAGTCTTTCACTGCCCGCAGGGGTCAGGGCTTGGTGGGCTCCCTGGGCAGGCCAGGACGCCTCGCCACTGCTCGATTCGCAGCCCTGGGCCTTGGAGGAGGAGAAGGAGGAGGAGGAGGAGGAGGAGGAGGAGGAGGAGGAGGAGAAGGAGGTGGAGGAGGAGGAGGCCCCCAATAACGTCTCGAATCATCTGCAGGGTCCGCATTGCGGATGAAACAGGAATACCGCTTGGTAACCCGCTTGACAAAGGCAAGAATCGAACGAAGGCCTCGCCGTCTAGATTCGCAGAGGAGGCCGCACACTACTTGCAGGGCGAGGGGCTCAGAGCACGCAGGAAGGAAGGAAGGACAGCGCGCCACGGCTACGGCAGGAGGTGTAGGTGGCCTGCTTCGCAACGGCTGCGGCAGGAGGAGTGGAGGGTCGCACGTCGCATGGGCGTTCCCCAGCCCTCCTGTGGTGTCGCGTCCTCATTTTGACTCCGCAGCGCCGCGCGCGTCACTTCCTCCTCGTGTCACCTCCTCCTCCTCCTTCTCCTCCTCCTCCTCCTCCTCCTATCCTTGCCTCTGCTCTCGGCATGTCCATGCCGCCAAACCCCTCACACAGATCCCTGCCGGCCCCACCGACGGCTTCGGGGGGCGCGACCGCAAGGCGCCGCGCGCCCTCTTCGGCACACCGCTCGCGCGCTCCGCAGCCCAATTGGGAGCTCCACGTGCGGTGTCAGGGGCACAGCCGAATAGCATCCGCACGCCCATGTCGGCACACCTCTCACACGTTCTGTTGCCCCATAGGGAGCCCCAGCTACGTTCCCAAGGGGAGCGACAGGATGGCGTCCCAACGACCCGTTCGGCACACCTCTCGCGTGGATCGTGGCCACATGAAGGCTCTAGCTGAGTTCGCAGTCGGCACAACAGCACAGAGTGCCGGCGCCCAGTTCGGCACACCTCTCAAGCGGATCGTGGCCCATACGGAGCCCCAGCTACGTTCTCAATAGACTCGACCGCAAGGCGTCCCCGCGCACAGTTCGGCCGCACCCCTTCCAGACGCGTCGTGGACAGATAGGGGGGAGGGGGCGCTCAACTCATGAAGATGGGGCGCACAGCCAAGATGAGGACAGCGAGGAGGACAGAGAAGCAGTGCGATAATGAGAAGAGACCAGAGCAAACACAAGACGTATGGACGATGCTGCAATTACTCGACGCGGAGATCCCCAAATGTGCATCTCATAGTGATGGCATGCTTCGGTAGAAGGCAATGTCCTTTTCAATATCTGAGTGTCAGCGAGTTCATGTAAAAGACGAAGCTGAGAGAGAGACGCCGACGACTGCGACGACTTTAACTACTTGCTTCATCCTTCTTTCCTCCTCCTCCTCCTCTTTCTCCGTCTTTTCCTCTGAGAACGTATCAGGGCGCCGAAAACTGCTCCCAAAGAGAAGGACGTTGAGCACCCAAGCCGGCAAACCGCCTGAGACATCCCGGCAATCTGGGCGCGAACGGGCCCGTGAGATACCCCCTGGCGGCCGAGTGCTGCAACCAACACCTCGCCTGAGACATCCTCGGAAACTGCTCCCAAAGAGAAGGATGCTGAGCACCGAAACCGGCAAACCGCCTGAGACATCCCCCCAATCTGGGCGCGAACGGGCCCGTGAGATACCCCCTAGCGGCCCCCCTTGGAACTGCTGAGACCAGCGCCTCGCCTGAGACATCATCACAACGTGTGTTTGAGTCTGAGCGCGGAAGTGGTGTGGCTGAGTCTGAGTGCGGAAGAGCGAGGCAGAGTATGAGTGAGTCTTAGTGTGAGTGAGTCTGGGTGTGAGTGAGTCTGAGTATGAGTCTGAGTGAGTGTGAGTATGAGTGTGTGTGTGTGTATGAGTAACCTGAGTATGATTAACCTTGAGTCTGACAAGCGACTGGAAATGCGAATGAGTCTGTGTATGAGTGATCCCGAGCATGAGAAACCTAAGTATAATCAATATCAGGGCGAGTGCATCTGAGTACGAGTGAGTCTGAAGATGAGTGAGTCTACATGTGAGAGAATCAGATAATGATGACCTGAGGGTGGGAGGTGTGTTCCTTCCTTCCGTATTCCGTCCTTCCTGTGTTCCGCGCGGTCAAAGTAATAACAATAACCCCATCTTAGGATATGGGGAATAAACCCTCCTGTCCCACGTCCCCCTTTGCTGCGGAGGAGGAAAATAATGATGCTGATGATGATGATGATGATGATGGTGATCTGTGATGATGATGCGGATGGGGATGGGGATGGGGATGGGGATGGGGATGGGGATGAGAATGAGAATGATAATGAGAAAGAGGATGAGGATGAGGATGAGGATGAGGATGATGATGATGATGATGATGATGATGATGATGATGATGATGATGATGATGATGATGATGATGAGTATGATGATGCTGACGAGGAGGAGAAGGAGGAGGAGGAGGAGGCGGAGATCAACGTGGACTGCAAACAGGCCGCTCGACCGGTGGAAGACCCACAACTCGAGCATGCAAAAGATCAAGCGTCGCTCTGGGCGGCCCTGCATCACTGGAATACAAAACCTTACAGATTCTGGAAAGGCTCTCGAGCCCCGCGAGGCAAGCTCGCACACGTTGGCAAGCTGACGGCCGTAAACGACCGCGGTGTGCTCACCTGGACCAGACATCAAACATACTTATGAGCGCCCCAGACCCACGGGGGAAAGGTACTGGTCGAGAGCAACCTCTCCGACGAGAGGGACCTGGGGTGGCGACCACGACGTCCATGGGAAACCCTTCGAGCAAAATAGAAGAGAGTCCACAAACCGATCCCAAAGCCTCTAAGCCTTCTTGCCGGAAGCTATGCCGCAATACTGACAGCAAATCTTGGCACACAGGAGGGCATGTGTGCGACCTCGCACCGGCAGCGATATCTGACCTGGAGCTTCTCCTGTGGCGGTCCACCTCCGAAGAACACTTCTCCCTCTTAGGGTCCGCGGCCGACGCAGAGTGCCCCGTGGTCCGTCGCAAAATGAACGGGTCCAGTGGTGGCTTCGAGAAACGCGGCGAAAGCCTGGAGTTCCGAGCGACGCACCGTTTGGCGGGGCCCTCTAACGATCTCGGAACCAGCCAAGATGTTTCTCTCCTGGCCCCGCTCTCGAGCAGTACCTGCGACGACGAGGGTCCCAAGAACAGCCTCCAGGACCATCTCCAGAACCCACAAGCGGGTAAGAGCCCTCTCCAACAGAACACTCGCGAAGAGAGCAAGCGCTCGGGACAGCCTTGCTGAGATCCCCGGGGAGTCCCACAAAGACCGGGTGAGTGAGCCCGGCAGGTGGGATCCCTTTGAACCAACATGAAAGCTGAAACTCAAAAGACGCTGGGGTTAAGTCGGGCATGTCCCTCTGTGGAGGAGTATTCAAACTAGTAAAAAATAGTCAGGGGACGATTTTCCGACTAGTATTTGACTCTTGTTGGCTATGTTTGAACATGTTTTGGCTATCGTTGATTTGTCGTCCAAAATGGGCCACGTCTCGGGCACCGTCTCTCCGTGGCGGGACCCGGTGGAAGCTGGCGATGTTGAGTCCATCGCGCACCAGTCGCGGCACCAACGTTCAGGGCGGAATGTCAAGTGTACCTTCTCTACTGCATGCAGGTTCCTGACCATCCTCACGCGACGCAGCCAACCCCGAGAACAAAACTGAACATGCGTGACAAACGCAACCACCAACTCTGAAACATCAAAGCCCGTCGGGGCGTAACCTGCCATTCTGCTCTGCGCCATCTGCGAGCACTGCTGTCTTGCCATGCAGCATCCGTTAGAATAACAAGAACTACCGACATCGGAGCAACCACCAATCTCCATCTTCTTGCCATCCGCGTGGCTCAAGGTGGCCTCCTAGACGGTCCCAGCATGCCCCCCAGACGGCCAAGATGGCTCCAAGAGAGCCCCAGATGGCCCAAGATGGATCCACGAAGGCCCAACATGGCTTCAAGATGGCCCAGGAGCCCGCCAAGACGTCTCAAGAGAGGCCCAAGAAGCCTCCAAGAGGAGGCACAAGAACGCCCGAAGAGGCCGAAATCATTGATCTTGTCAGTTACGGGCTTCCGACGGCTCAAGACGGCCCCAGGACCATCAAGATCGCCCAAGAGGCCTCTATGATCGCCTCAGGACGACCCAAGAGGCCCCCAGGAAGGCCCCCAAAGGGGGCCACAGACGGCCGCAGAGGCCTTCAATATGCCAAAGATGGCCTCCACGACCACCCTGAAGCGCCGAAAGAGGGCCCGTAGATGGCCCAGAGAGGCTCCCTGGACGGTTTCCGACGGCAACTTGCTGGCAAGGAACGCTGTAAGACGGCCACAAAGAGGCCCCCAAGGTGCCCCCGAAGGCCCCCAAGGCCCAATGAGGCCCCCAAGAGTGCCCCCGAGGCCCCCAGGAAGCTCCCCAGGCTCCAAGACTGACCCACGAAGCTCCCAAGAGGTCTCCTCATCCTTCTCCCGATCCTCCCTTCCCCTCCCTCTCCTCTTCCTCCTCTTCCTCCCCCATGTGTTCCCCAAAGGACTTCAACAACGGCTGGGGGAATGCATCGTCCAATAGCGTGGACAAGCTTTACCCAAACGCTTGGCCGCATATCCTAAGAGGCGGGAGCAGCGGTGATTCGCCGCAGGCGTCTTCGACAGAGGAGAGATCGGCCAGAGGAGGGAAACGCATCGAGGCCGCGGCTCGTCCTGGAGGGTCCCCCTCGCCACGGCTGTACTCTCCATGAGGATCTGGTCAGAATGCTCGCAGGGGATCCTGCCCCCCCTCATCCCCAGGCTCTGCCCGAACAGTCAGGACGCTCGGAAGCATGAGGGCAACTCTGGGATGCGCCCTCGGGGTGGCTGCTCGGACACGCACCCTATCGACGACGGACGCCCCCGCCATTGTTTGACCTCGAATTGGGCCTCAGAGACTTCGTTCAACCGGAAACCACACAATATCTCGGATTGAAAAAGCCCTCCCATGCAAAACTTGGCTGCACCCATACGCAACACGCAACCCGTAGCAAGTTGTCATGGAGCTCAACACGGAGATCGACAACGCACGTTTGGCGCGACGCTTTCGCCAAATCGTCGGCCAGCACGTGCCGAGCCCGGACGCAGCGTGTTAACTCTGACGTTGTGAAGACGGCACGTGTTGCGTTTCAAAACGGGCGCATCAGGGCAACTGAGCTGGAGAAGCACCAACCTGCATACATATAAACAGTTGGATGCCCATGCTGATCTCTTGGATCGGCGCTCGGGCCCCCTCCCTGGCGCGCGGAGCGCGCCAGAGGCGGCGCTGGTGGCGACGCTAGGGGGTCCAAGCGCAGACCCAAGGGATTCTCGAGGAGCTCCGAAAACTTATCTTTATGCCTTTGTTCCCAGACCCCCAGCGTCATGATTTTTTTATCGACCCCCAGAGGTCTCGACCCATTCCCCGGGACCGGTTCTTCATGCTGAGCCGCTTCCTGACGGCCCCGAGGCCCCCCCGTATGGGACCGAAAGTGGCGACAAAAACTCCCGCCGTGATGCTCTTATGACTCGAGGGGGTGTGGGTTCTTCTTCGGCAAGCCACGAGGGGACACGCAGGGGTTGACTGGCAGGCCCCGCCCAGCTCCTCGGCGCGGCCGCCGCGACTGGCGCCCAGCGCGGGCGGGGAGGCCTGAGCCTCGCCGGCGGGGCTGTCCTGCGCGCGGGGTCTGCGCGGGAGCCAGGGGGCGAGGCCCCGAGGAGCGGGAGGGGGGGTGGGGTCCTGAGGAGCGGGGGGAGGAGGCGGAGGAGGAGGAGGAAGGGCCCAGAGGAGGAAAAGGAGGAGGAGAAGGAGGAGGAGGAGGAGGAGGAGGAGCGGAGGAAGGAGGAGGAGGAGGAGGAGGAGGAGGAGGAGTGGGAGGAGGAGGAGCAGGAGGAGGAGGAGAGGAGTGGGAGGAGGAGGAGCAGGAGGAGGAGGAGGGAGGAGGAGGAGGAGGGGAGGAGGCGAGGAGGGGGAGGAGGAGTGAGGAGGGGAGGTGGGAGCAGGAGGAGCAGGAGGAGGAGGGAGGAGGAGGAGGAGGCGGAGGAGGCGGAGAGGAGGAGGAGGAGGAGGAGGAGGAGGAGGAAGAAGGAGGAAGAGGAGGAGGAGGGAGGGGAGGAGAGAGGAGAGGAGGAGGAGGAGGAGGAGAGGAGGAGGAGGAGGGGAGGCGGAGGGGCGGGGAGGGGGAGGGGAGAGGACGAGCCCTCCTGCCCGCAGCTGCCCTGGCCGCGCGGCAGGCACACCCCGACCTGGGACGGGCTCCCAGCTTGATGGTGCAGGCCCTTGCAGCGGCGGGACCCTTGCCTGCTGCGGAGGTTGCGCACGTCCTGCAGGTGCTGGTGGCTGCTGCGCCTGGGCAGCCTTCCCTGGCGGACCTGGCGGCGTCCACCCTGGTTTGCGCCGGGGGGCGTCCAGCCACCTTGCAGGAGGCTGTGAGGGCCTTCTTGCCTCCAGGTGGTTCCTGCCCCCCCCGGCCCCGGCGCCGGTGGAGACCCTTGTGGTCGCCTTTGGTGGCCTCGGGTGGCCCCGTCGGCAGCACTGCTCCGGCGGCCCCGTGGCGCTGCCACTGCGGCCGCCCCCTCGTCGGATTCGTCACCGACGGCGCCTTTCTGCCCAGCGCCTGGCGTCGTGCCACCTGCGCTGGCAGCTCCCGCCGCGGCCCCGTTTGAGCAGGGACCGACCGTCGTGGCACTTCTGGAACCCCACCGCGACATGATCCCAGAGCAGAAGAGTGCCCCAAACACAAAAAACAGTGCTCTTAGAACAGAGACCCGACGTGTTAAACCAGGACGGTCCCACGCCAGAAGTGTTCGAAGGACATTCCGTGCACACCGCAAGAAGTACTTGGAGCATTCTTCGGTGGGCCTGTAGGCGAACCAAGACGCTTCGCCACTGCTGGATGGCTGGCTTCCTCCGCGGGGGCTGCCGCTCCCGTGCGACCCGCACTCTTCGGCGGGCCCCCCGCCAGCCGCGCGCGCCGCTGCCCGCGCCGTGCGCGACCGCGGCCGCCTCTTCCTCCCACGATGTGCTCGCGGCGCTCTCGGCGCGCCTCTGCCGCGGGCTCGGCGGACGACGACGGGACGCACGGGGACATCTAGTCTCTGCTCGTCCTGCTTCTGATCCTGCTCGAGATGTGCCCACTCCAGGAGGAGGAGGAGGAGGAGGAGGAGGAGGAGGAGGAGGAGGTGGAGGAGGAGGAGAGGGAGGAGGAGGAGGAGGAGGAAAAGAGGAGGAGGAGAAAAAGGAGGAGGAGGAGGAGGACGGGGAGGAGGTGATGAGATGAGATCAGTCGCGAAGCGAGCCTATGAATAGACGAAGGGCCCCGAACCGCCTTCTCAGCCTTGCTGAGAACCTTGGGCCGGAGGTCACGGGAAATTCGGTCCAAATGCTCCCTCGGAGCCTTGGTGATCGGAACAGGGGGGACTTTACGAGCATGACATAAATCCGCCTGGCATCGCAATTGCTGCTGGCCAAAACATAACCAGAGGTATGGAGCGTCATGCTACAACATAATGTGGGAAGCGTGGACCTCACCCCAGCGAGATGTAAACATTGACCCAGAGGCAATGTATACGGCACACTAGATACACAATCAAGGTCAAAACAGCTTGTGGTCAGTCAAATGGCTTTGCTCGCTTTTGTAGCCGAGCTCTTGCACCTGAAACACTTTTGACCACACTCCATTACAACGTGCTGGAAATTGAACAGGGCCACGGCAGCAGGAGGCGGGGGGGGAGCAACAGCGGCAGCAGAAGGGCGCCGACGTTGTTCCCCTCGACCTGAATGGCCTCCGAAGTAATCCTGAGCAATCTTTCCCTAATCAGACGTACTTCCGATTCAACCTGGAGCACACGCGCACGTTGGGGGCTGGGGACAGCGAAATACTTACCAGTAGTCCCTGCCAAGTGGCCACACACGCATTCTCAGCCACCAGAACTCCTGACATGCACCGTGCAACTACGTCTTCCGCCTCCGAGTGGGAAGGGGTCTGGAGCACAGCTATCTCACCAGGGTCTTCTGGGTCAGAAGTTCGTCGTGGCACTTGTGTGCCCTGGTCGCTTCTGCGCGCCAGTCACGTTGATGTTGTTGTTTTGTTTCTTCTTCTGCCTTTCGGAAGTGGTTCGTCAGGTCCTGGATCTCGCTGTTGACTTCGGTCCTGTTCTAATGTCGTAGGCCATGCGCTGGTTATCCTCCTCGAGGTCTATGAGCAATATGCCGACATCTTGACCCTCTGTTGTTTCACCGGCCCGCGTTTGTCCTCTTGACGCTGGTGTTGGGATTCTTTTGGAGGGGGCCTCGTTTTGGAGTTTGTCGGCCTCGTCGTCAACTGCCTCGTTGTCGCTGTTGCGATCGTCCTTGGTGTTGCTGATGTCCCGCTGGAGAACGTTGAGCTCCTCGATCTTGTTCTCCAACTTGCTCACGTCGGCCAGTACATGTTGTGTGTGTCTTTGTGTGCACGTAGTAGTCCTCCATGGATTGCTTCGTTGTTTCGATCTCCCTCATCTGTTACACCAGGCACCTACTTTTGAGGATCACAGCTTTGGTGGAGGCGATCTGTGCCACCGCGTCTGTAATAGATCGTCCTGCTGCGCTGTGTTGGCAATGGCTGTCGCGACCCGCCACATCTCAATGTGCTGGAGTTGTTCCCCCGTATTATTTCAGCTTGTGGTCGGTGGGTGGCAGCTCCCAGTCGTTACTCCTGGTGGCGTAGATCCTCCTCGTGGGCATGACGTTTTTGATTTTGTTGGCGATGAGGTCGTTGTAGTTATGGGTGTCATCCTTCTGCTTGTTATGTTTCTCACTGTCAGGTTGCTGCGTTGTCTTGCCCTTGCCCTTGTTGGGCTTGTCTTTGCCCTTCGGGGTCCATTTGGAGGGCTCGATGTCGTCCTTCACGGTATTTCCCGTGCCAGTGTGGTTGCTGCCCTTGCCGTTGTGGTCGCTGTTGTAGCTGTAGTTATAGCCCACGTTCTTGTCGGGCCTCGGCCCACTGGTCCACCCAGTTGTGGCGTTTCCATCGTGCGAGCCCCGCTCCCATCGGCGGCGTGGTGAATCTTGGCGTCGTTGGTCTCTTTCGCGGGCGGCTCGATGTTGACCTCCGAGGTGGTATCGCCAATCCAGATTCGCTCGCGGTTGCGCTCCATGGTGTCGCCATGGCTGAAACTTGATGCGGATGTCGCGGCGGTTGCTGCGCGCTGTGGTGCTGGTCGAGGAGCAGCTGAGCTGCGTGCCGCTGCTGCTGTGTTTGCTTGTCTAGCAGTGTGCGCGCTGATGCTACACACAAGGGAGTGCGTGCGGCTGCTCCCTTTGAACATTTCATGCGGTGCCAGGCTGGCTCCGAAGCTGCCGTCGTCCTTGAAGGCGTGGGGTGCTGCGTGTGCAAAAATGCGGTCAGCATAACGCAAGAGAACGAAGAGGTACATTTGCAAAAGTGTCGACGTGGAAGCGACGATGTAGTCGTAAGGATGGAACGGGATGTCAAGGTGTATGGTCCTGTCCTGGTGCTGTTCGCGGATGCTCTCGCTGCCACGTCCTGAGCGGGTCGTGGCTCTCGTCCTCCTCCTCCTCCTCCTCCTCCTCCACTCTTCCTCCTCCTCCTCCTCCTCCTCCTCCTCCTCCTCCGTACCGCGCTGACGAAGACGAGGTCGGGACACGACCCGTCCCAGCGCAGACTACTCGTCGGAATTGCGCCGTTCCTACATTCAGCCTCCTTCCTGCTGCGCTGTTGCACAGGCGCGGTGGCAGGGTCTGCCGCAGGAAGTCGGAGAGAAGGCAGGGGGCGTCTTGGAAGCCCCTCCAGTATACTATCGAGGTTCCTTACACACTGGGAGGTTTTGAATAATGCCCCCGCCTTCTGAGACGCACCCCCCAACTTGTCAGACGGGCGCTCGTCTCGCGCCACACCCTCGCGGGCGCCGCCGAGTGGTCTTGCTGACGCCGTGCTACCAGAATGGAAGATGAGTATGGAAGAAAGGGCTTTCTTGACCACGGAGAGTCTCGGCCACAAGAGGTTCCCCGACCTAAACCCGAGGGGCGGGCCGCAAGCCAGAGCGAGCCCCTCCTGAGACCAAGGTGGCCCACATGCCAGCGTCTCCGCTGCAGCGCGCGCGCACCGAAGGACAAGTCTCCCCATCCCCTTCCCCTCCTCGTCGGCGCACCGGACTCGAATCGGATCGGGCCTGGCGGCATCGACATCGGGAGGAGGAGGAGGAGGAGGAGGAGGAGGAGGAGGAGGAGGGGGAGGAGGAGGAGGAGGAGGGGGAGGAGGAGAAGGAGGGGGAGGAGGAGGAGGAGGGGGACGGGATCGAAATGGGCCCTGCGAGGGCTGCCCTCCCCTCCGGGGTCCTGCGCCGCGGCCAGCGCGATGGCGCTGCTGAGGCGGAACGGGGCGACCGGAGGCCGGCTGCCGGCGGCGGGCGTCCCGCTGGCCGCCTGGGCGCGATGGGCGGCGGGAGCTCGGCCGCGGCCGTGTGTTGATCGAGCTGCTGTGGGACGCGCAGACACATGCCAGCACTATCTGTTCGGGGATGGACAGACCTCCCTTTGGTAAAACGTGGTTGAGTGAAAACGATCTGAGGCCCAAACCTGGCGGGCGCAAGCCTGGAAAATAATGGCCGCGGCGCCCTCTCGAGAACCGAAAACGGACAATTCACTAATCGACGTGTCACTATTGGGGGTTCTGTCCACCCCCGATCTGTCCTCCTCGGGGGCGCGCGTCCGACCCGAGCATGCAGTCGACGCATCTCGTCGCGCGTCGTTTCCCAAGCGGTGTGGCCAGGAAGCGCCCGCCACGACGCACATACCACAAGACTTCTCGGTGCGCGCGCGCGCGTCGCCCCTGGGGGGGGGGGCGGGGCGACACACACATCTCAGGGGGCGAGGAACGGTATTGAAGATGAACTTTTCCGCCGTCGTGGTCGCCCGCCCCTCGGGCGGCTGAAAATTAGTACCCCTGCGTGGCAGCGTCGGGGTCTGAACTTTCTCAGCCGCCCGGGGAGCTCAGCCGCCCGGGGGGCAGGCGCCCACGACGGCGGAACAGATATGTAATGTTGTACCGCTCTTCGCCCGCTGAATGTCGTAGTCGTATGTTCGGGCGACGCCGATGTGATCCCCCCTCCCCTTCTCCCTTTCTCTCTGTCTCTCTCTCTCTCTCTCTCTCTCTCTCCCTCTCCCTCTCCCTCTCTTCGGGGGCGGCCAAGAGGGGGGCGTCCACGAGGGGGGGGGGCGCAAATCATGGCCGGCGGCATGTGCGCGGCCCAGGGGGGGGAGGTGGGGACGCATTGAGACAAGAAGAGGCGCCATGAAGTCTGGGGAGGTATCATGGCCCTCGCCATGATACCCACCCCGCCCTAGTCCCCGAAGCTGCGAGAGACAGCAGCAAAGCCCCGAAGCGCCGGAAAAGTGACTACCTACCAGACCACCCCAACCCAACCCGAAGACCCGAATTTGACCCGAATTTCAGGTTGCGGGGTGGGGGGGGGTGGGGGGGGGTACGGGTTCCATGTGTTTTTTCCATGTTCCCCGACCCCCCCCACACTGGAAATGGAGGGACAATTGAGGCCTTCGGGTTGGGTTGGGGTCGTTTGGTGGGCGGTGAAGAAGGGGATGCCGCCCCGGGCCGCTGCCTCCGGCGCACCGCGAGCTCAGCCTGGCAGAGGCTGCTTCAGCAGCTTGCGCGGGAGGGGGGCCCTCGAGTCCGTCCGTGCCGTTCTGATCGGCGAGGCGTCAGACTCGTGCACGGGAGACTCGGGCTGGAATTTGAAGCCCGAGCAGCAGATCGGAAGAAGCTCAGAGGCGGGCGAGGCGCACGGCGCAGACGGCGCCGACGGCGCAACGAGGGGGAGGTGGAGGAGGAGGAGGAGGAGGAGGAGGAGGAGGAGGAGGAGGACTCGTGCCCGACGGGGCCACCCTGAGAATGACGAGGCCCACTCTGGAGTTGGGCGCGAGCTCCCGTGGCGAGCATCCCGCGAAGACAGGGCCGTCAAAATCCAAGACGCGCTCGTCGGAAAACCCGGATTCTGGCTTACTCGAGTCTTACGTTTCTTGGCGGCGCGCAGAAGGGGGTGGGGGGAGGGGGGAAGGCTTCTTAGAAGGAGGCTGCTTCTTAGAAGGCGGCGGCCTTACATCTATACATAAGGACCGCGCCTTCTAAGAAGCAGGGGTGCTCCCACCTCCACAATTACTCAATATGAATACTACTCTCCCTCTTCCCCTGCTGATGAAGTCTTTTGCGTATTCGCCCCCCCCCCCCCCCCGCACACACACACGATTCCCGGAGAGTTGGTTTTCGCTGCGTTTTTTTTTTTTTTTTTTTTTTTTTTTTTTTTTTTTTTTTTCAAAATGCTGCTCTCGCTGAGGCGCCGGCCTCATTTCTGCTCCCGAATCGTTCCGAATCGTGCTCCCGCTGCAGCGTGGGCCTCATTTTCGGATCGGTGTTTGGCCTCCGTCGTTCAGGATGGCGTTCTCGCCCCAGCGCGGGCCTCTTTCTCGCGCGCCCATCCGCCCGCCACCACCGCGCCGCACCACGCCCCGCCCCGCCGCACGCACACCCACCGCCACTTCCACCCACCAACGCACGCACGCACGCACGCGCACCACCACCGCGCACCGCCACCACCACCGCACTACCCCACCCACCACCACCACGCTACACCGCGTCACACCACATCACACGCGCGCACACACAGACACACACACACCACACACGCACGCACGCACGCACGCACGCACGCACGCACGCACGCACGCACGCACGCACGCACGCACGCACGCACGCACGCACGCACGCACGCACGCACGCACGCACGCACGCACGCACGCCCGCACGCACGCACGCACGCACGCACGCACGCACGCACGCACGCACGCACGCACGCACGCACGCACGCACGACGCACGCACGCACGCACGCCGCACGCACGCACGCACGCACCGCACGCACAAACACACACAATACCACTTACACACATTTTTGTTTTGTTATTTTACACAATACCAATAACACATTAACACACATCACACCATACACACGCGCCACACACGCACCACACACAACGCACACACGCACACACGACCTCGCACAACGCACCACAACGCACCACACGCACCCGCACACCCGCACACCCGCACACCCGCACACCCGCGCACACGCACACGCACACGCACACGCACACGCACACGCACACGCACACGCACACGCACACGCACACGCACACGCACACGCACACGCACACGCACACGCACACGCACACGCACACGCACACGCACACGCACACGCACACGCACACGCACACGCACACGCACACGCACACGCACACGCACACGCACACGCACACGCATACGCACACACACACACACACACATACGCACACACACACGCACACACACAGACACACACACACACACCACCACCGCCACCACCACCACCACCGCCATCACGCACGTACGCACCTGGCCCACCACCAAACCACCAAGACGCCACACCACGTCACACCACAACACACGCGCACACACGCACAAACACATACACACCACCACCACAACAACCACAACCACGCACACACGCACGCACGCACGCGCACCACCACCCACTACGCACACGCGCGCGGAGCCACAGGTCCGCTAAGACACGCGTCCGCGGATAGAGAAAATCAGCCCCATGGTAAGGGATGGGAGAGAGGGGTAGGATGTCAGATGTTGACGCGAGCGCACCTAACTTGCCCCACCCCCCTCTGCGCGTGGCCGAGTTTCCTCGATATGAGGTTCCAACCTGCTCAGTCTGGACCACCTGAGCGAATGTCGAGCATGCCAAGAAAATGCCGAAACTGCAGGGTTTTCCCGTGAATCGGGCCCTGGGAGGCGGTACGCCTGCGACACTTCGCTGGCGCGTCGGGCACACACACTGTCTCGATGCTTTTCTGGGCGCCCGAAACTATTTCTGGGATGTGGCCCGTGAGTACGATGGGAGCGACATAACCGTGCCGTTCCCTTCATCGCAGCGGGAATGGCACCCGGCGGAGAAGCCCCGAGCGTCCTGCATGGATCGGGGACCGTGAGCCCCTCGCGAAGTGCCGAGCCGCGCGGCGGTCCCTGGTGAGTGGAGGCGCGGCGAGGAGATCTCGGTGGCCGGGGGGACGAGCAACAGCGGGCACGCGTAAGGAGACACCTGGCCAGCGCTGCAGGCATCGGATCGTGGGGACAGCGGGATCGAATCGGGTCGGATCGGCCGGCATCGACACTGAGCTGTATCGGTCGGATCGGCATGGACAATGCAAAGGGGACAAACACGGCCAGGCGAGAGATGGGCAGCGGTGTCGGTGCGTGTTCCTCCTCAGACCTTGGGGTGCCTCCCAATCATCTTTATCATCCCGCACTGCAGCTTAGGCTGGGGCCTCGGCGCATCGCGCTGAACTTATCGCATGACGTGATGAAGAACATGCAGGAGAACGCACGCCGAACCCCTGCTCCCGAGACGAGGATTGAAGGAACCGCCTCCAGCAAAACGCCCTTCAATGAAAACGGGTGCTCGCGGAGCCAAATTCTCGGGCGCAGCCTAACCGACCCCTGGCAAACCATGCCCTTCCGTGACGTCACCCTCGCCTTTCAAGCTTCCCTCCGTCACGGGAGGGGATGGTTTGCTAGGGGTCGGTTAGGCCGCCCGTCTGGGCGGAACGGATAAAGCGACGTCCGAGCGCTACCGAGCGCATCGGGCAAAACACACGTCGACTGGCGAAGCCGACAGGGGGACTGCGCCAGCACGCTGCGAACCCCGCTGTCGAGCGAGCCTTTGGCTCGTTTTGGGGGCGGGCAGACGTCCAGCCTCGGCCCCCGGAAACGGAGACACGCGACGAGCGCGGGGACCGACGAGTCCCAGAACGCACGACGCGAGGGGCCAGCAGAGGGGGATAAACCGAGAAGGGACCGACCGACCAAGCAGTGACCGAAAAAACGGCGAGCCCCAATGTTGAGTGAATCAGTCGACTTGTCTGGATGGGCGTTCTCTGGGTGCGCGATTCTCTGAATACCCGCGGAAAGGCTCCCGCCCGATCGGGGCCGCCACCACAGCGGAGACGGTGAACGTCGCCTACTCTTGCCAGTGTCATGTCAATCGGCGGATGGGTACGCACGCCACGCCATCCCACCACGGTCACCACGTGGGAACACCTGCACGATCGCGTGCAGACATATCTGATCGCGTGCAGACATATCTGAATAGCGTCTCCCCGCCTATTTCAGCACATCCTTCACACGGATCGTGCCCTCAAGGAGCTCCATCTACGGCCCCCCACTCATCTGGGCACACCCCTCACAGACATCGTGCACCGCAGGGAGCGCCACCCACGGCCCCCTCGCGTAGCGGCACAACACTCACGCGGATCGTGCTGCCCCGCAGGTAGCTGCACTTAGAGGGAAACTTCGCTTAGCGTCGCCCCACTCACGTCGGCACACCTCTCACACGGATCGTGCCGTGCCAGGAGTTCCACCTACGGCCCCAGAGACAAGGTCCGCATCCCGCCCCCCCGCCTGCTTCAGCACACCTCTCACACTCGTCATGCCCCACGGGGAGCTCCACCGACGGCTTGAGAGACAAGGTTCGCATAGCGCCCCCCCCCCTCCCCCCCCCTGGCCCATTGCGGCTCACCCCTCATGCGGGACGTGCCCCACAAGGAGCACCACCCACAGCCCCAGAGACAAGGTTTGCAAATCGTCCATCAGCCCACGTCGGCACACACCGTTCAAGACGTGCCCTGGAACGACCTCCACCTACGGCACCAGTGGGCAACTTCGCATGGCGTCCCCGTGCCCATTTTGGCACATTGCCTCCGACGGGTCGTGCCCCACAAAGGAGCCCCCCCTGCGGCCTCGGTGGGCGGGTTCGCGCGAGGGCACCCGCACTATTCGGCACCCACTTCTCGCGGGTCGCGCCCCGCACGGAGTTCAGCGCGCCTGCGCACGCGTGCTCCGCAGCAGCCCGCTACCAGCTCAGCCCCGCGGCGCGCAGTATATGAAGAGAGGGCCGCGCCCTTCGCTACACGTGGCTACTTAGGGACGGGGGTCCGTCGCCAGGCCGGTTGCTTGTCTAGTGATGGCCTTCGGCCCATGCCGCCACCGTGCCTGAGTTTGGGGCCAGAGGACTCTTGGAATACTTGTAAGTCGGGGTCTATTGGCATTCTGCTCGGGCGCCTCCTGGAGCGAGTTTTGAAGCTTCTCGGGGCCTCTTGGGAGTCGTTTGGGGGCCTCTTTCGGAGCTTTTGGGGGCCTCTTGGGGGCCCGCTGGCGGCCTCGGGGGCCCACTTGTGGCGGAGGGCTCGACATGTCAGCTCGAAGTCCTGGCTCTCTCGGGCCGTCCTGGGGTCGTCTCGGGGGCCTCTTGGGCCGTCGTGGGGTGATCTTGGGGCTCTCTTGGGCCGTCTTGGTCTCGGTTAAAACCTAGAAAGCGGACGTGCAAAAGGTCAAATGTTTTCCATGAGGAGTGGGGCAATCTTGGCCTCCTGAAGTCATTTCGGGGGGCATCTTTGAACCTTCTTGGAGCGTCTTCGGGGCCTCTTGGGCCGTCTTGAAGCAAACTTCGGGCGTCTTCGGCCCCGTTGGGCCGCTCGGGTCGCTTTTTGCTGGCGGTCCGGGGCTGCTTTGCTTTGAGCGGCTGGAGGCCCCAGAAAGGGTCAGGTCGGGCATGTGCCCCTACAGGCGGATGTGGGGCAATTTTTTTTATATCTAGATATGAACCATAAGACAACAAAACTATAGTCAACAAGTGGTGAGAAAATCGCCCCCAGACTAGATTTTGACTATTTTTGGATATTCCTTTCTGTAGATGCACACGCCCGACAAAGACAGAAAGGGACCATATTGCCGGTCCCGAAGAGGGGGCGGGGAACTCCCAGAGGGTGCCTGGGCCTCGGGCCAGGCCGCAGGCAGTCAGGCATGGGATGAATTCGGCGGCGAACCCCAGAGGAGGGGGAGGGCCTTCTCGGAAAGCCAGGACTGCCTCGAGTTTTCTGGCACGCTCTCTAAGTCTCCTTCCGGAAATGCAGAACGCTTCTCAGAAGCCCTGCCGCCTGCTGAGAAGCCCAGCCACCCTCTGAGCAGGCCTCCTCCCTTTCTTTTCCCCCAAGCACGCCGCCGACGGATGCGTGCAACAGAATTCTAAGCCGTGTAGCGCACCGCGGGACGCCAATCTGCAAAACAGCGAGCTTGAAGCTTCAGCCTTGAGCTTGAGTTTTGGAGTGCCGCTGTGTCGCTGCCACAGGAGGTGCGAAGCGCGCAGCGTCAACTACGACGACGACGACAACATAGTTTGTTTTGCATTGCAGGCTGTTGTGCTTTGCTTTGTTGTTGCGCTGCCGTCTTTCGCTGCGAGAGCCTGAACTTCTACAGTTGGGCTGCTGAAGTAAGGAACGCTAAATAAGGAACGAAGCGTCGATGTGGCTTCAAAAAAGCCTGGGTGCACGAGAAAGGCTAGAGGAACAACCACGGAAGGACGTAAGGAACATCGAGCCCCTTCCGAATCCAAACTGTTCCTTATTTCAGCGCATTGGCTGCATCATTGTATCATTGTGCTGATGCGTGCGAGCCGAATGTGGCATGGGGAGGTCCAGGGAGGTGAAAAGCGCGCAGCGCCAACCACGACCACGACAATACACCAGTTGCTCCAGTGCTGCAGTTTCTGTTGCATGGCAAGTCTGTTGCAAGTCATTTTGTTGGACGTGTCGTCTTGGTGTGCTTCGCATTATTGATGTTTCGTTGCTGCAGCTTGAGCTCCCGATTCCGCGTGCGAGCCAGATGCGGTTTGAGGAGGCGCAGGGAGGTGCGAAAGCGCGCAACGCCAACCACGACTACAACAGAACATGCTCGTTTGCATTGCAATTGTCTGTTGTGTTGCAGTTTGCTGGTGCAAGCCGTTTTGGTCGAGTGCCGCTATTTCGCTGTTAGAGCTGAGCTTACCATCATGATCCTGCGTGCGAGCCGAATGCGGTTTGAGGAGGCCCAGATAGATAAGAAGCGCGCAGCGTCAACCACTACGACCACAGGAAGACATCGATTTTTGCGTTGCAATGTTGGTTTGCTTCGAGGTGCCGCTGTTTCGCTGCCGTCGGCTAGAGCTTCAGCGTATGAGTACGATTCCGCATGCGAGCCGAAGACGGTTCGAGGTCCACTGCGACAACACCGCATGTTTGCTTTGGCGTTGCACATCCGTTGTTCATTGAAGTTGTCTGTGTGTGTGCTGCAGTTTGTGTTCGGATTCGGATCCTTGCTGTTTCGCTGCTGTAGCTTGAGCTCCTGAGTCCGCGTGCGAGCCGAGGGAGGGGGAGGAGGAGGGGTGGGAAGGGGAGAGAGAGGGGGGTGCGGGAGAGGGGGAGGAGGAGGGGGAGGAGGAGGAGGAGGAGGAGGAGGAGGAGGAGGAGGAGGAGGAGGAGGAGGAGGAGGATATGGTTTGAGAGGGTTCAGGGAGGTGCGGAGCGCGGAGCGCCAACCACGACTGCTGCAAAGCGTGTGCTATGCATAGCAGCTGTTTTGCATGGCACCTCTCGCACGGTAGCCCTCTTTTGCAATGCGGTGTTGGTCCTGGTTGGCGACCTGGCTGGTCTAGATGGCTGGCTGGCCTGTTTAGTCTAGTCTGTTCAGTCCAATGGTCTGTGTCGTTTAAGATGTCTGGTTGAACTGGCTCGCCTGGTGATTCAAGTCGCAGGAGCGTTCATTTGATTAGTCTAGTTGGCCTGGCTGTAATTGTCTAGTTGGTCTGGTCGGTCAGGGCGGCATTGTCACCGTGGCTCGGGTGGCCTGGTCGGTAGAATTCGTCTGGCTGGTCTTGGTTGGTCTGGTCTGGTCTGATCTGATCTGGTCTGCTTAGTCGAGTACTTCACCTGGTTGCTCTGGTTCGTCTGGTCTGGTACGTCCGACTAGTTCGGTTGGTTCGACTCGGTGCTCTTTGTTGGTCTGGATCGTCTGGCTGATTTGCTTGGCATGGTTGGAGTAGGCTGGCTGTGGTCGCGCAGGTTGTTCCTCTGGTCTGGCTGGCTCGGTTGTGTTAGTTTCGGTTCGCTCGGCTGGCCTTGGCCTGGCCAGTTCTAGTCGGTCGAGTAGTCGTCTGGTCCGCCTGGCTTGGTCTGCTTGGTCTGATCTGGTTGGTTGGTCTTGGAAGTTGGCCGATTGGCTGCTGTACCTGATCTGGCTAGTCTTGTGATTTCGCTGGCCCAGCTAGTTTGGCTGGCGTTGCCCGGTCTGCCTGCTGCGCAGGGCGTCCGCGAAGACGACCAACAACAGCAGGGGCAACAACAACGGCGAAGGCATGACCGGCATCAACGCCCAGAGGAGAAATCCGAGGAGGATCAGGGGGGGTGGGGGGAGGGGAGAATCTGCATCAGCAGCCATACCAACTCTTATGCCTTAGATCGAAGTATGGCGCTAGGGAATCAGAACTTTTGCTCCATCGGGGTGGGCCCCTCATGGCCGCCAGGATGGCCATGCCACGCCGACAGTGCCAGTGCCACGAGAAGGGGGAGGGGAGAGAGCGGCGAGAGGACGCAAGGGATGACATGGAGGAGGAGAAATCGGAAACAGGAGGACGAGCAGGACTAGGAGGAGGAGGAGAAGGAGGAGGAGGAGGAGGAGGAGACCACGAGGAGGCGGGCGCTGAAGATGAGGATGACGAGGGGCAGGCGGACGACGATCCGCGGAGGAGAAGAACAAGGACAACAAGAACGATACTCCAGATTTTGTCATAAAAGGGAGGGGGGTCTCATTTCGGGGGGGGTCTCTTCCGGGCTATCTTGGAGGGCCTGGGGGGGTCTGGGGACGATGTCTTGGAGGGTTCTCCCACGGGGGGGGGGGTCTAAAACTTCTCGTCTGGGAGGGTTGAGACCCCTTCCCTTTTACTACGAAGTCTGGAGTAATGACGACGACGGAGAGGGATGGGAAAACGAGGACGTGGAGGACGAGGAGGGGGACGGCGTCGCGCGGGCCTCCGCCCTCGTCGGCGGCCGGAGCGCCGCGCCAGCGGACGAGCCCACGGCGGGCGCCGTCGTCGGCCGCAGGTCGGTGCACTGCTGCACGTTGGCGTTGAGGCGCTTGGAGTCCTTGATGTCCTTCCGCGGGGTGGCAGGGACACAGCGTGGGGAGGTAGGAGGAAGGAGGAGGTAGGAGGGTGGAAGGACGAGGAGGAGGAGGAGGAGGAGGAGGAGGAGAAGGAGGAATAGGAGGAGGGTGGAGAAGGAAAGAGGCGGAGAAAGAAGTTGGGGGGGGATTGGAGGCGGAGAGCGGAGGGCGGAGGAGGAGGAGGAGGAGGAGGAGGAGGACCAGCGTAAACCCAAGAGTCATCAACGATGTTGGAGTAAACCCTCCCTCCAAGCTCCCTCTTCATAGGCCCCAACGACGGTTCATTTCCACTGATGGAACTGCCTCGTTGGATGACACCTGTTTGAAGACCCTGAAGCATGCCAAAACATTGTTCTCGGGATTCCAACCCCATGGATCAACCAGACTGTTGCGTCTTGACGATCCTGAACCGTGCCAGAACGCCGTTCCTTGGACTTCAACACAGAGAATCAACGTAGCTGTTGCACCCGCATAATCCTGCATCCTTCTCAAACACAAGATCTGGTACGTTGAGGATGGGGACCGTGAAACGCTTGTTAACGTTCGACACGAATGTGCGCCGCGCTAAAGCGAGAACAACATGTTGAAAAGAAACCGCCCTCAATTCGTGAAGCTCTTGCAAATGTTTGAAACGAACGTGCGCCGAACTAAGGCAAGAACCATATTTTGAAAACCACTCGCCCTCAATCCGTGAAACTCTTGCACCTGTTTGAAACGAGTGTGCACCGCGCTTTTGCGATAACCACACTTTGAGAAGGACCCGCCCTCAATCCGTGAAACCCTTGCAATTCTATGTTGTGCGCCGCGCTAAAGCGAGAACCTCATTTCGAAAAAGAACGGCCCTCAATCCGTGAAGCTCTCGGAAATGTTTGAAACGAATGTGCGCCGCGTTGAGGCGAGAGCCACATTTTGAAAACGACCCGCCCTCTATCTGCGAAAACGTTGGCAATTTTCAAGCTTCGAAATCATAAATAGTGAGGACGTCTCAGGCGAAACGCCCGGCCCGCCCTAAAAACTGGCGTCAGGGTGCGACAAGGAAAAATCATTTATAAGGAGAAGGAATGGAGGAGGAGGAGGAGAAGGAATGGAGGAGGAGGAGGAGGAGGAGGAGGAGCAGGAGGAGGAGGAGGAGGAGGAGGAGGGAGGAGGAGGGGGAGGAGGAGGAGGGGGAGGAGGAGGATGAGGAGGATGATTGTTTACAGAAAAACCTGCGCACGCCGCTCTCTCCACCGGTGCGGCGGGGCCCAGGGCACCTCCCCTGCGCTCCGCGTCATAATCGGGCTGGCCCCGCGAAGGACAAGGACGAGCCGGATCCGACGCCCACGACGAACCGGCGGGCCGCCAGGCGGCACGGCGGAGCCTTTTAGGAGGGGCCAGACCCGCCGCAACCATGATGTCCACCTCACCAGAGATGGTCACGTAGCCACGCAGGCAGCCCGATCCTCCGGAAGCGCCATTCTTTCCACCATCATGCCGTCCCACTGAGGCGTGCTCGAGGGCATGCCACACTCATAGATGCACATCGGGTCCGCCTCCGCCCTCTCGCCACCTGGGTACACCTCTAGGCAGACCGCCCGCGTCCGCGCGAACCCCAGTCCAACACGCTCAATCCAGGGGCCGCCAAGGAAAGTGGCGAAACGATCAATGAACAACTCCATGGACCAATCGCGGCGCTGGCAAACCTCCCCGAACGGCACCCTGAACTCGTCATCTTCGTACTCGCCGTCCAAGCCTCCGTGCTTAAAGAATATTTCCCGCACCGCTCGAGGAGGACCCACTTCACCAAGGAGCGAATCGCCACCGCCATCATCATGCAGAGCAGCATCGCAAGAGGGGACTCCGAGAAATTCGATGCTATGTTCGAGCGTGGTCTGGAACCTCTTCTGCGCGTCCGCCATGGGCTTGAGAAGCTCTGCCAAGACCTCAATGTTTCCGCGACCAACGCCGTCATCAGGAGCAGCCCTACCAACACCACCGGGACTGCCAAACGCCCCCCGCCGCCGAATCAACCACCGAAACGGCTACCGCCTGGCCCAGACTATCAGGAACGTGAGCAGCATGAGAGGCAGGGGCCCCAGTACTGACTGGAAACTTGGGGATGCACGGGAGCTGCCCAGCACGCGACGTGTCATCTCCATCACCGTGGCGCCGAGGAGCTCTGAGACGAGGCCCGCCCCCGCCATCGCCGTGCGCGCCGCCAGTGCTCCCCGGGTCACTCCTTCCTGCTCATGGGTCTCCCTGCCCCGGTTGCTCACGACGTGGTCGCCGTGCCCCAAGGCCTCCACCGCGCCGATCATCATCACCGTGATCATCATCGTCGTCGCCGCCAGGAGGAGAACCACCATGGTCGCAGGGGGATCCACCAGCAGCCTGAGCGGGCTTCGCAGTGAACTTGACCTCCGAATGAAGGTGCGCATGGCGATGGCCCCGGTCCGCCACGTGGCAGGTTTTCGCGGCCGCGAGGAGCCACTATGGCGTCACAGCGCTGGCATGGCCGACAACAAAGCACCACGCCAGATGCAGCAGCACGCCATCGGCGACAGCATCATGGCTACAACGATCCGCAACATGATTCGGATATAACAAAAACACCGAAAGGGACGCTCCTCACACTGGCGAGAGCAAGCCAAGCCCGCAACGACACTGCCCTCAGACGGACACCGCCGTATAATCCTTCAGGGCGACCAGCAGGATACGGACAAGGACGCCCTCCAAATCTACGGGTCCGACCCGTGGAAACCAGGGACGACCACGACACCACCCTCAGATGGACAACGCAGCATCATCCACGAGGCCGACCAGTATCAGACGGACCAAGAGGCCCTCCCAGTGGAAACCATGGCCGACCTACTCAGACGCCGTCAAAGCTGACCTGCCTGACCAGCACGACCAACCTACGGCGAATCAGGAGACCCCCCTGATCGCCCACAACACGAGGCAATCCTCGCGATGGGACCGGCCGAACGGCGGCCTGTCACTGCGCTTCTTCTCACACAATACATTTGCTTATGCAGACAGAACCACCAACTGCTACACACCCACTCCCACCTCTACACGGTCCATAACCGACATGTACGCACTAACCGTAAAGACGGAAGCAGCACAGCTGGTGGTATGGAAGTCTACTTTCCCTTGGCATATTTACAGAGTGACACGGCCGTACTCTTCAGCGTGGACATCAGTGGCACGGGCAGCACGTCGTGGACATCATTGGCGACTGCGATCATGTTGGTTTGATTGCGCATGAGCCACAGGTCCTCACTAACCTCCAACCCTCCCCTATCTCCTGGCTCTTCTGCTCGCAGCCCCATCTCCCCCCACCGTAACCAGCTAACCTTCTCTTCAGCCCCCCTCTTGCGGTGAAATACGATTCGCGTCATACAGGGGAGGGAGGGGGCTCGGACTCACAGCATGCCGTTCTGACAAGGGCCAGGGCGGCCGCGGCCGCAACTAGCCACTACGGCAGCGGCCATCAGGGCACCTCCACCTCCACCCACATCCGCGGCCATCAGGGCAGCGGCCATCAGAACAGCATCAGCGGCCATCAGCAGCCATCAGGGCATCACCTATGTCTGCTCAAAGCAGCTGCGGTCGCCAACCGCCTGCAAGTACAGCTAACCACACACCCCACACACCCGCGCCGCCGCCACAGATGACAGAAACCACTCCCACGCACGGTGGAAAACCCCAAAGCTGCCACCGCTCCCATGATCTGGGTACCCTGCTCCTGCCTCGGTAGGGGAGTGTACCAGTCATGGAGATGGTGGCCGCTTCCCATGTGCAGGGGGTGAGGCCTTTCTGCCATCTACCTGGGCGAGAGCTGGCGCTGTGCCGTGCCACCACTTGGGGAGGGCCCGAACCTCCCTCACGCTCGGTGGAACCCCCCAAGGCGACCCAGAGGCCAGCGTGCTGGGAACCCTGCGCCTGCGTGCAGGCGAGGAACCCCGCCGTCGGCCTCTGGGACGCCTGCGGGGGATTCCTGTGGGCAGAGGGAGAGGCCCTTGGGTCCCTCTCCGCTGCAAGCGGCACCCCACAGGGGGCCCCGCGGAATCTTCTACCGCCCAGGCCGCCGCCGCTCACACCCGCCACCGCAACGCACCTCCCCTTACCTTCGCTCCCACTCGGCCTCTTCCTGCCGCCGCCGACCTGTTCCCCTCTTCGCTAGCGAGGCAAAAACATCGCCTGGGCTTGCCGCCACAGCCCTGAGGCTGAACAGGCTACTGCCTCTCCGCCACGCTCCGCCCCTTGCTGTCTTCTTCGCTGTCCATCTCCCCGCTCCATGCCTCCCACTTCCCTCAGACAGGTGAATGCACCTCTGCGGATGGAGACCTTAGGGCGCCCCCCGGGGCACCGGCCCCACGAGGCCGGGGGGCCCAAAAGGGAGGAGGACCCTTCAACGCGGGCCCCTACGGGGCCCCCCACGCGCCACACGCTGCCCACGCCACGCTGCCGCCTCAGATCTCCCTTTCTTCCTTCCTCCGAGGTTATGATGATGAGGCTTTGTCTCTTCTGGTCCCCTCCCTCCGGTTCTGCGGGGCCTAGGCCCAACATTTTATGTTTTTTGATCTGCTCCCCCAAGGGGGCCCGAGCGGGCCTCCCTGGGGGCAGCGGCTGCGTTCAGAGAACTCCACTGCCGTCAAGCCTCGTTGCCTCAGGAGGAGGAGGAGGAGGAGGAGGAGGAGGAGGAGGAGGAAGAGGAGGCGGAGGGTGGACACGGTAGCCGCCGTAGAAAGGAGGTAGGAGGTATGCGGTATGAGGAGGTAGGAGGTAGGCGCAGGCAGGAGGAGGTACAGAGGAAGGTGGGAGCTCAGACAAGGTGTCGAGGCAGGAGAGGGGGGGACTCGACGAGGGTGGACACGGATGGTCATGGCGACGACTGAGACGACTCGGGTGGGGGTGGGGGGTGGAAGGAGGAAGACCAGGAGTAGAGGGGGGGAATGGAGGCGAAGGTCGGAGCTGAAGGGGGAGGAGCCCGGAGGAGGTACGTCCATCGTGCTGCCCTCAAGGAGAGCCAGGCAAGGACCGAGAGGCCTCGGACCACGGCGGGCCCTGGCCACGAACAGGTCCCCCTCGGCGACCCGGAGCCAAGGAGCGGCCTGGAAATCAGAGCCCCACACCTTCTCCTCCTCCTCCTCCTCCTCCTCC